TATATATATATATATATATATATATGTATATATATATATATATATATAAAAGGTATATTTGTATAAACATTTGAAGAATCATTTGACAACATTTTTTTATAATTTTATTATTTATTATTTAAACTGTTAACAGTTAATATCTTAAATATATCGTAACATAAAATCTTTTGCGTCTTTTTCGTAACTGCACATTCCGGAATGCTCCTTCCGTAATGAACTATTTCGTAAGTATTCTTACGAAATGATTTGTTTCGCAAGTCTTCTTTCGTAATGCGTTATTACGGAATTTTATTTATTTATATTTTCGTATAGAGCGTTACGGAATGTGCATTTTCGCATGTGCAACTTCCGCAATAACAATTCTATTACGGAAGATAAAAATGCGAAATTTTCGTAAGTTTTGTTTTTCGGCGAACAACCCTAGTATAAAATAAAATAGCATATTGGTAGATGAGAATAATAAGGTTCTCCAAACCTTCATGGTAATAAAATTTATTTTTCTGTTATTAGTTATAATATTATTTTTGGTTTCAAAGTTATATAGTTTCATTATATTAGTCTTATTTTTTTTATTTACATAACTCCGAAAGTTGTTAGTTTTTGTTTTTTCATTGTCAATTTCAATCTTATTTAATAAGATTGAAATAATTCCTACTTTATTAATAATAATTAATAAAGTAGGAATTAACAATTAATTTGTAAGCAAGCACTTTTATAAATTATGAAATTAATAATGTAAGATTAGTTATAAAATATAAATAACAAAAAAAAAACTTTTTTTATCAATATAAACAACAACAACTGTAAAACATTGTTTTACAGTTTGTTGTTGAAAGTTAAATTCTCGCAACATTAAAAAATGGAGATAGAACCCTATTATTCAATGTCACGATATATAACCAAATTTCAAATATAGAGTGTTTATGTTCAGCGATCGTTAATACAAAAGTAATTATTGTTTTCATTAATTGTAATGTGATGGTAGACATACGGACGATAAACAGTGAAATTCATGCTTAATTCATACCCAATAATATACCCAGGAGTCCAAAGTTTTGGGCACTGAACAAAAATTTACCCTGGGCACAACAAAGTCTCTGTGCGGGCCGCATATTTTGAAACCCTATACAGGCTCAGAATAGGCAGAGATATGCGCAACCTGATTGGCTAATTTTGAAAGAGAGGCCTTAGCGCGTATGTTAAAATCAAAACAAATGTACTGAATAATTAAAATGAAATTGAATAATCGCATAAAAAATCGAATAATAATTAGAGGTGTACCGGATATGATACCCGGCCGGATAATCTGGCAAAAATGCCGGATAATCCGATATCTGGCCGGATATCCATCATATATCCGGTCGGATATAGCCGGATATATAATTTTTTAAAATTATCTCTAATCCCACTTGTGTACATACTTTTATAACAATTAGGAATTAACTGTTTTGAGTAATTTAATTAATAAAAGTAAAAATTAAGTATTATAGTGAAATAATATACCGTAGTATTATTTCACTATAATAGTAATCGCACAAATTTAACTTTGAATGAATGAACATTTGATCACTATTGCTCACTAATTTTTCACTATAATTCACTAATCACTTCTAAATTTTGGAAAAAGAAAAAAAGAAACGAAAACTTTTGACGAAGAAAGTAAAGGCTTTATTACAACAGTTACAATAATTTAAAAATGTTAAAAGTATAATATATTATATATATATATATATATATATATATATATATATATATATATATATATATATATATATATATATATATATATATATATATATATATATATATATATATATATATATATATATATATATATATATATATATATATATATATATATATATATATATATATATATATATATATATATATACATAAAATAAGCTACATTTACTATAGATAAAATGTTAACTTTTATATAAAAGTTAACATTTTTTTAGTTAGTTATTTTCAAACTTAGTCGTATATATCTATAGTAAATATATTATGTCGCTTATTTTATGTAGCTTTAGTAGTTACTAAATGTTTAAATCTCAATAATAATTATTTGTTACATATAAATAGCGTAAGCGGCCGTCCATAAAGTTCATTTATGACCCCTCCACCCTTGTGCGATATCCCTCTTGTCTCTTCCCCCTTGTTATCTTGACCTCTTTAAAAAAATACTTCTTGTATATTAACCTGTGATTGCCTAAATGCCTAAAAATACTAATACTCAACCCTTTATAATTAACATATAAATCAATTTATAAATAAAGTTCTTCAGTAGTCTGGTAAAACTGCATATTATCTTTGTATGCAAAAGAACTTCACCAGTAGTCTTATTCAACTGCATATCAACTACAAATAAAATTTGTATTCGAGTATGCTTTAAAGCCAAGGATATTATATTTTACGAGAAACACATTTATAGATTTTTTCGAATTTACATTAATACATACTTTTTTTCGATTTCTTTGAATTAACAACAGATAAAATCCCGATTGCCAAGATAAATTTCATTGAAACTTTGAACTTTTTATAACAGAAAATTATCTTGTACAAATAGATTTTAATAATTTTTAAGTGCTCTCAAGAGAGCTAAAATAAATTAATAACACAAGACATCGATAAACTTAGTTAAATATTTAAAGAATTATTTGCTTGTTTTGATTTTAATTATATTTTTCAACAAAAGCGCACTTGCCTTTCTTTCAAAATCAGCGAATCAGACGGCTCATATTTCTGCCTATTCTGAACCTGTATAGGGTTTCAAAATATGCTTGCGGGTCTGATAGCGTGCATATCTTGGCTTTTAAAAGGGCCGACGACACGGATTTTCAAGTGGAGGGGCACAATCGTCATTTTTTTAAAAAAGTCCACTATATCTAAAAGTTACTTTTTTTTTTTTTTAAAAAAAAAAAAAGGTCTTTTTGAAAAAAAGTAGGGGAATATTATGATTTGCCGTTGAAGAAATGTTACAACCTACAAATAAAAAAAATTAACGGCCGGAACAATAAGAAGACATTTTTGTCTTATCGCCGAGCACCATGTAACAATATATATTTTTTCCAAAATTTTTTCCTAGAGTTTTAAGTATAAATTAAAAGTTAAAGTTAAGTTAAAAGTTAAATTACACGGAGCGGGCGTGTTCCGTAAGCCCATCAACAGCTAGCCGTGCTAGCTCGTGCGAAATTGCACGGAAGATGATGCGCTGTAGTAATTATTAAAGCTGATCGAATTTTGCTTTGAAGCGATCAACACTGGTAGCACTGACTACTACGTTAGGTAATGCAATCCATGGGTGAGCGATGCGGTTATTGAAGGAATTATAGCGAACGAGGCAGTTGTTGTCCATTTCACGATGAAAGCGCTTGCGATGACCGTAGCTAGGTGGGATGTTAGATGGATCTATATGCCAGCTAATTGAGTCGATACTGTTTTCGAATTTATATTTTTGGATGAGGTCGCTGCGTAAACGTCTATTTAATAGAGAGGTGAGACCGAGTTTGGTGCCTCTTGTCTCGTAATCGAAGCGCTTTATTTCGTGCGGTACTTTGGTAACCCGATGCTGAACACGTTCTATGACATTTATGTCTTTTTCAAGATGCGGGCACCAGGCAGTAACTGCAAACTCTAGATGTGGGCGTATATAAGTGGTGAAAATTTTTTTCCATATTTTGGTATCTCTGCTTATAAACGTGTTTTTTCTGCTTATAAACGTGTCCCGAGGACTTTATTAGCCTTGGGAGCGGCTATTTGTGCTTGCCTCTCATATTTTAAGTCGTTGGAGATTTGAACGCCTCCCGATGGGCATTTTTTTTTAAAAGTTACGATCTAAATGTATTTTAAATGTCTTTTAAACGTCTTTTAAACATTAATGTTTAAAAGACGTTTAAAAAACATTTAAAACACATTTAGAACGTAACTTTTAAAAACAAATGCCCGTCGGGCTAGATCTTTTTCAGATGTTGAAGACTCGATTACTGTTCTAGTGACGCTACCGTTAGCGTCGTACTCGTTCATTAAATAAATGTGTGGGGAAATATTGTACTTACTGAAATGCATGACTTTGCATTTCTTAATGTTGAGTGTTAATGTTGAGATGAAAAAATAAGATATGTTTACCAAAAATTTAACAATAAAATAAGATCATCTCAATTAATAGGTAATACCATAAATAAATTAGATAAAGCAAACAAACAAACAAGCAAAAAGACAAAAAAAAACAGCAACAAAAAAACAAACAAAAAAAAAAACAAAAAAAAAAAAGAAAGAAAAAGAAGGAACTAAAAAGTAGTAAAAGAAGTAAAAAAAAACAATGCAATAAATGATAATAGTTAATATCAGTTATTATTTAATTTAGTTTTTGAACTTACAGGGTCATTGAATTTAAGATAAGAATTTTAGTTAATGTATGCTTTAGATGATTTTTTTTTTATTGATCTATTTTAAAAGAAACAAGATAAATCAACTCCTGTGTGTAATAAACACCGCTTTGACTTAAGATTAAGCGAAATATTCTTCGTAACACTAATATTACGCAACACCTATTAGGTGTTATAACACCGTAAAATAAAAAAAGTGTATATGTGTGATATTATATTTTTATGCTTGATTTTACGGCAACACTTAATATAAAAGTGTTGCAGTAAAAAGGTGTTTATGCAAAAAAGGTGTTCATGATACGTTAACGTTAACGTATCATGAACACCTTTTTTGCATAAACACATTTTTTATTATCAAATATTTATATAATTTATAATTATGTAATAGATTTTTAATATTTAATTATTTTTATTTAAGATATTTAAGCAAGTTGCTTTACGCCAAAATTAAAATGTAAACAACGACTATCCTAAAAATTCAATCTATATTGCAATATATGGTAAGAAAGAAAAGAAAAACTATTTTTAAACAATTAATTACTATTTTTAAACAATTAATATAAATATAATATTTTCAAACAATTAACAAAACTTTTATTTTACAATCCCATATGTCTATGTTTATAAAAACATGTCATCAATTATAAAAAAAGTTTTCTAGTGTTAAATCCGTTGTCCAATATATAAATGTTTTTGCTTGAATTTGATGTAGGAATAAACGTGAGATTTCTGAAGTCTCATTCTGTTGAAAAATTGTCTAAAATTCAATAATGGAATGAACATATATATATATATATATATATATATATATATATATATATATATATATATATATATATATATATATATATATATATATATATATATATATATATATATATATATATATATATATATATATACATATATATATATATATATATATATATATATATATATATATATATATATATATATATATATATATATATATATATATATATATATAAAATATATATATATATATAAATATATATTTATATATATATATTTACATATATATATATATATATATATATATATATATATATATATATATATATATATATATATATATATATATAAAATACAATAGCTAATATTGTACAACTCATTATTTGTAATGCTAATCAATTTTAAATAAAGATTTATAATATATATATATATATATATATATATATATATATATATATATATATATATATATATATATATATATATATATATATATGTATATATATATGTAAAAATGTATATATATATATATATATATATATATATATATATATATATATATATATATATATATATATATATATATATATATATATATATATATATATATATATATGAATATATATATATATTTATATGGTCACATGTTCATGTTTCAAACATGTTTCAAATCTCCATATACAAACTATTTAACTATTTATACAAACTATTTTACTATTTTAAATAATATACAATTTTACAATATAATTGACAAAAATATTGACTTTGCCATATCAGCCTATGGCATTCATTTGCATATAAAGCTTATCGTTTGATGCAGTTCTTTATGTAGATCTTTACCAAATCTCAGTGTCATTTCATTTCTTTAATATTTAAATATGCAAAATAATATAAATAAGAATATAATAAGAGTTCAACTTTTTGTTGACTTGTAGACCTCATATATGAAGTATATATATAACAGAGTACAAAATATTTTGAAAATAATAAAAAGAAACTCACAACAGCATGGGCATACAGCAGATTGACTAGATTCAGTTCTCTTATGTGAACATTGACTAGCTTGTGGTTCTTCAGTTGCCTGGTTGATATTTGTTCTGAAAAATAATAATCTTTTCATCATCTTAAACATCTTTCAGAAAATTACATTTACCAAAATTACATTTTGTGGTTTCTCATTTGAGCAACCAAACCTTGCATTTGTACACCACAGCTTTTATATTTAGTTTTATTACCCTTTTTACCAAACTTTGCAAGTTTTCTTCAAACTGTTTTCAAAACTGCATCTATTTTTCTACCGGCACCAGACATTATTATTTCTAGTTATATTATTTTTATTTACAACTAAAAAACAACAATATTTATAAATGAATACTTTA